TCTTTTTGGAACATCACCATCGAGTGGAACTGAAGGATAAAGATTGATCAAATCCACTCCAGTTGTCAATGTTCATCCCAAATGACTTTTGATAATTTTGCACGAGAGAGCATACATAACACCTTAAACCCAAATTTCTAATTTTTAAAAGACAAAACACACTTAGGATGTTACTTCGTCAAAACATGCATACTTTATTCATAAAAATATAACATACTCGCAGCGGAAAATCAAAAGATAGCATAACTTCAAAAGTTTAGTCAAATAAAGCTTAAAAAACTAATGTCAGCATAAACTCAAATAACACAAATGCGTCCCATTCTCCGATGTTACATAATCAGAGCAATATCTAGACTACAACAAAAATAAATGAAACACGAAGAAAGTCATGAAGACATCTTCCAACTCACAAACAATCACTCCTGCTGAATATCTGCACATAAATTGCACAAGGCACACAACAAACAAAAGAAAAAGAGGTGGAGGAGAGGTGAGAATACGCCTTATAATATTAACGGTGAAAATTAACAGCATGATGGTAAATAAAAATTCATTTTTCATTATAAAAAAAACACAATTACAATCACAATCCATTTTATAATGCGAATGTTAAATGCACTCACTCCTCCATCTATATGCATGTTGTACGTGATTATTGGATATCATAGGCGTGTTACCGATTTATCCACGATCTCTAGTACATCTCTGAACCAACAATTTCCCATGAATATGAGACTTGCCTCTGGTTCCTGTCTGAATCAACGATACCCCTATGAATCAAAGGCCATCATTGGACCGAAGTTTTACCTATCTCCAAAATATATGCATGCATGATCATGTAAAATAAATAAGCATGCAACTCAAAAATCATAAAATACATCTCAACATCATACTAAAAAAGGTTCCATTTTTCGAACCAGTTGTTTGCCAATAATCAAGCTATCACTATAATCCTATCAGATTACTAATCACAATAAAATAACTATTTCATCAATTTTATTGAGACTATCTCCAAAATATTTATTTAATTAAAATAGAAGTGTCATCAATTATTTCAAACATGCCCAACAGTTGCAGTAGTACATACGACTTCAAATCCTCAATCTTCAACTTCTAACGAGTCAAAACCCAGATAAATCTCCTGTAGTAACCAACCAAAATCTAGAAAACTTATAATTTCAGTAAATGACTTAGGAGCCTCCTACTGTAACAATGTATCTACCTTAGATGGATTAACTACTATACCACCACTGAAAATATCATGACCAAAAAAACTCACTTCTTGCCACTAAAACCCACACTTAGACAACTTAACAGACAATATCTTCTTTTGAAGCTCAACACGAAGATGTCCAACACGATCCTCATTCGATTTAGAATAGACCAGAACATCATCTATGATAACCACGAAAAACTTATCCAAGTACGGACGAAAGATCTTATTCATATACTCCATAAACACACCTGGGACATTCGTCACACATAACAACATCATTAAGTACTCATAGTGACTGTATTGAGTCCTAAATATAGTCTTTAGAATACCTTTATCTTTTACTCAAATCTGATGGTAGCCTAATCTCAAATCAATCTTATTGAATACACAAGCTTCTACCAACTGATCCATAAGATCGTCAGTTCTGAAAGTGTGGAACCTTCTTTTACTGGTAACATGTGTTATTTTGATGATGACAACTATAGAAATATCATAAAGCTTATTTAGCATATTAAATATGCAAAAATAGACAAATACAATAATATTTCACAACATACAATCAGCATGATAGAGATGCAATATGATGACTAATATAGAAGAGCAACGAAAGTACACTCAACATAGTAAACGATGCAACCTTTTATAAAGTCAACGAAGAAGAGCAATAAATGAATATTCAACATAGCAAAATATGCAACATGATGAATAAAAGAGCAGATTAGATGATACTTAGCATAACAAAGATCCAACAGTTGAGAAAGTCAAACAATAGACTTAAACGGTTAATGCAAGCCATGAGTTTGATAAGAAAGACTCAGATAAGGATAAAGGAAATCAAAAGCTTCAAGTCATCTCAAAAGCAAATGTCAAACATATGAAATACATCAAACACAAGATCTAGGTTGATCATCCTAAAATAGCAACTGATTGAATCAATGTAAGCAAAAGTTCCTTTCTCTCTGAATTAGTTGACTAAACAAACACACGCGCGCACACACACACATACACACACACACACACCTTAAAACCTTTTTATAAAATATTTTTGAAAATAAAATATCTTGAAGAAATATGTAGAAGTTGCCTAGAAAGAAATGGGAAAATTCAAAAAGCCAAAAAATATATTTTGACGGGATATAATCGATTAGCCCAATCGATTAGATTGTCACGTTTTTTAAGATAAAGGAAATTTGAATGTACCCAATCAATTGGAAACAACTACAAATTACTTCTTGCCTATTTTAGAAGACTTAGCCGTTACGTTTAATTAATGTAATCAATTGAGTCAATCAATTAGTAACAGTCCAAAATCATTAAATGCTATTTCCTCTTTTGAAAGATTTGAACACTATAAATAGAGATCTCACTCCCGGGTTCAAATCATCCCGAACTCGATACGTGTATTGATATTCTCTCTCTAAATTTTTCTGTCACTTTCTCTCACTAGTTCTTATAGCCAAATAATTTTGTGAGGAAAGATTTTTTGTGAGGAGAGATTTATGTAATTCTGGATGGGTTGAAATATATAAAGTTCTTCAAGGTTGTTATTGTTTCACCTTATCCATGTTTAGGGATAAAAATATGTGGTTCAAAGCTAAACTCGTTAAAAGGTTTGGTTGGAGATTTGAGTGATAAGTCCCGTGTTCTTGAGGTTGAAGATTGTTAATGTTGATGAGCTTCCCTATGAGGTTCATGGTTATCCTGTTATAAAACCATATGTTAGTTGATCAGTCTCTTAAAATCACAAGAGGTTAATGGTTATCCTGTTAAACTATATTGAGCTCAAATATTTTTAGTAGAGAAAAGTGATGGTACTTCGATCTACAGTTGGGAGAGAAGCTTGGCCATTTCGATCTCAACAATGGAGAAGACACAAACGTTGATATATTTCATCTTGTATTTATCATGGTTGTAGAACAGCCACATTTTCTTGTATAAGGGGGTTCGTGAGCTTCACCTACTAAAAGCTCTCAAGTACTTAATGGAAAATCTCAAGACCAGTTCTTTGTGAGAGGAGTAGGTCAATCAGTTTTGATCGAACCTCTATATATCGCAGTGTTCTTCTTATCCCTTAACTTTTTTACTTTTTGCATTTTATTTCAAAATTATTTTTTTCACTGCTAAGTCATAATAAAGTTTTTGAAACTCTGATAGATCTAAGGATTTAGAAAATGTTTTTCCAAATCATACAATTCACCCCTCTTTTGTGTGTGAAGTCTCAAGTCCAACAGAAAGATGATACTTTCTCTTGAAAGTAACCTTATTCAGCATCCGATAATCAACACACAATCTCATACTATCATCCCTCTTTTTTACTAACAACACTGAAGCTCCCCACGGTATAATACTTGGTTCGAAAAATTTCTTTTCAAGTAAATCTTCTAATTGATTCTTCAGCACACTTAATTTTGATGCAGAAATCCTATACGCTGTCATCGACACGGGTCTAGTATCAGGTACTAAATCTATGTCTAACTCAAATTCTCTCCCTGGTGGTAGGTCAGTAATGTCATATGAGAATACATCTGAAAATTCACACACAACTAATAGATCAACCATTGCTGCTTTATTTTTAACTTTTAAAGAAACAAATATCGCAAACACTTGGACTTCGTCTTTCAATAACTCTTCCACTTGACTAGCAGATAGGACCTTCGAATCTTCCTTTTCAACAAATCAGGAAACAACACTGACTTATCCAAAAACTTGCACTCTTTAACTTTATATATATATATATATATATATATATATATATATATATATATATATATATATATATATATATATATATATATATAACTCAACTCAAGAATAATTATATTTAGTCATTTAATACATTCTTATAAATAGTAGAGTTTCATTATAAAAGGCAGAATGCAAATCACTCTCATATATACATTAACTTAAATGCTTAATTTTAATACTAGATTTACAATCACCATCAACACTTGAAGAAGAAGATCCACCTTAAACCATAGTGTATCATTAAATCTATACAAACTAGTGTAGGAAAAAAATTAGTAATTGTATTGAAAATAAAATAACGAATATTTTGGATATATAAACAATAAATAAGAAGAAAACAGTAAATTTTCTTATAATTTATTACAAAAAATAGTCAAGCAAAAGTTATGGTTTCTCAAGGGTTTGTGATCAAAATGATCATTTGAAAAAGAACATTATCATTGGATGAATTGAGAGTTTGCCACTCAACCTAAATCTAAAAGGGGAGCTTAATATTCAGATACCTAGTGCTTCAGACACGCCTATTATGGGTAAATATGTCTAGGAGCCTTTTAGTTATCTTGATAAATTATAAAGTAACATTTTATTTTCTAAGTATCATTATAGTGTGATTGGTTGTAAAGAGAAATTGAGAAGAGAGAAATAGATGAAAGAGTCTGTGAAAAGAGAAAAATAGGTAAGAAGTAAAAAAGATTTATAAGATTGTTTGTTATAAAAGAAATGTGAGAGAAATAAAAGTCTGAACAAAATTGCATTTAAAGTATTCAAATTTTAGAAAGAAAAAAAAAGCGTTTTGTACATGTATGAATTTTGAAACTCACAATTTTTATGTGATCAGGACGTTTTAGAAATTCATGGTTTAGTGTTGAATAAAGTTTCAGGAATCAATGGAGTTATATAAATCAGCATACAAACAAGTTTTCTGATTAGTACTCTTCTAAGCAAAAAAGCACATCAAAAGATAATTAATGAAGTTGGGACCATTGAATAAGCATACTCATTTTTGTTGTTTTTGAAGATAACAACAAGCATGTACTTATTAATCCATCTGGTTGCAAGGGAAACTCGACTCGAACGGCGCGCTGAACAGCTGAAAGTCTTGAAAGCGGTTGCTATTGTCGTAACCTGAGAACGAGATACAAGCGCTGGAGTTGTTGGCCTGTTGCAGATCAGTGTGCCAGTATTCTGATGACGGAAAGGGTGAGCGGTTAGCAGGTGCATGTGTTACTGAATGAGTTGCCCCGGTTGGCCGATTCGAGTGTTCTAAAGAGAGGGACTTGGTATCGTATGCACCCCATGAATTGGTTGACAGAAGAGAGAGAGCACGGTTAACATCTTGAGTAGCATTTGGATCAGACAAGGTAGTCGGATCTTCTATACCTGTAACATGTATTTTAACAATTTAGGTAGGAGAATTAATAAATTTCGTTCACAAGGCTCGATTTTTAACCAAGAGAATAACCTGGAAATGCACTCCTGGATTCTATGCCTTTGGAATCATCGGAAAACATAGTGACAGTCTTGTTAAATGCCTTTGGAGGTTTCAGCATAAAATCTTGTGTTTCCGGGAGTTTGCTGTTATGTATGCCTTGCCATGCTAAATTTGCAGTGTTCCTTGGAAAAGCAAATGGGCCCATTGCTTGTCTTTGATCTACAGAATGAATATAAATTAGATACATAGCAATGTAATGATTTATCATAGGTAAATGTCCATACTCTTGAGACTTATACCATAGGGTGATGAAGAAAGAGCTGATGGATTCAATTGCATTGCTCCAGGTTGAGGTTTGCGGCGTCTTGCATTGTGATCTGAAAGACGACGTCTGCAGCTTCTTTTTTTCTCGTCAAACTCCGATAGAGAATGGAACCTTTAAAATCATAGTTAAGTCAAAATTGTTAATCAATCTATTCAGAGAAAATCAGAAGACGGAAAGATCAATGTGAAGTGAATCGCATTCACCTGCTGCATTGTTGGCAAAATCGACGCTCCATACCAGCTATAACCACCTTAGGGGATTTGGAATGACTTTCACAAACTCTATGTTTTCGATGGTAATCTTTAGAGGAAGAGAGGTCGAGGCCACAACCTTCTACCTGGCAGCAATGTAGCAAGTTCTGACAACCCGATTTACCTTTTTTTCCACTCGAAGGAGGAGCTGCAGGAACCGCGGAGGAAGAGGCTTTCTTGGAGTGGCTTCCAGGGGAAACATCCTCAAAGTAGAATCTTTTACCAAGCTTCAGTGTGAGCAACGGTTCTGCTGCTTGAGAAGTTTCAATTGGATCTCCTTTAGACAATTCTTTCTTACCGGTGGAATCGTCTTGAGAACATTCCCGAGTTAACATAGATGTCTTGCTCTCCCCGTTTGACGATGAATTATTGGAAGCAGATTTTGAGCTCCTTGAGGACGACGCGTGTAACAGTTTAGACGCGGAACAGCCACTACCACTTGATGGAAACAACATTCCGACGTTAATTTCTCGATCTGTCTCCGCACTCCAATCAGTAGACTGAGACTTGTGATTTTCTGTTGGTTTTGAATTCACGAAGAACAAGTTTTCCCAGTCCCATTGCCCAGGCGATTTCGCATTCCACTCCATGATAACGTCTCACAAATTCATATACAAATGCTCACAATAATCTGCAAAAGAATCAAAGAGTACCAAGTAATACTATATCTGTTTAAATTCAGTTCACCAATCACTAAAAAATGCATATCAAGAAACATGATTTCCGAAACACTCAAAGAAAATATCTTGACAACAGAAGAAAAAATGCTTAAAAAATAGCACCAAACTGGTCTAAATTATTTGATCATATTATTTACCAAAGTTAATTTCCAAGCCTGAGATGGCCCTGGTACAATAACTCTTATCTTGTGTAAAATTACCAAAACAAAGGAACTAATTACAGAAATCCAAAAAACTTGTGGACTACACAGTGTTAAACAATTCCTATCCATGACTTCACCGACACAGCTAGATTGCTGAATTTAGTATTGTAACCTGTAAGATCTCTGAGGCTAATATAAGCAGTCCCCACCATCAACAATATGGTAAGTCATTTATCTATAAGTCCGTGTGTATTAATCTCCTAAAATCAGTTCTTACAACTATAGTACTACTAGTTAGCTTATACTCTATTTGGTTCCACATTTACAGCGACCAGAATTGACATGTTTGATTGTTGTCAAGTATAATTGATTCTGACTCGAGAATCGATTATAACATGAAGTTAAAATTTATAACAGTAAGTTTAACATTGAAAATTATCGTTTTAACAGTAAGTTTAGTGAAATCACAATAGTAAATTTCATCGAAAGACACACTTTAAAGTCTCAACAATGATGATGCTACCCTTCCACCCAAACATGAACTACCTAAACTTCACTTTCAACATGGGAACCCTTTAGATTCCAATTCCAATAATTAACATTTATCACACCAATGTCAGGAATAGGGTATTGAATGAGACCCCACAACAACAACCACCCAAAAACGATAACTTCATCACATATTTGAACTTCAAACAACACAGATATTAACACATGTAGTATTTTAGTTAACAAAAAAAAAGGCCAACAACCAAACCTCCCACTCATAAATGCCAGAAACCAATCAATCTAAACCTGAAAAAGCATCACCTTTAATGTTCAAATCTAAGAAAGAAACGACCCTATTCTACTTTTTAAATGCTACCTTCACTGTTGAAGTTTAAACCATATCATGAGAGTCTCTTTCCTTAGGAACCTTGCTAGTACAAAAACCACAAAGTTTTGCACACAAAAAATCAAAAACCTTTCTCACAAGCTTTCTCTAGCTCACCTATGCTAACTTCCAAAGAATCTGATAAACCCAAAAAATCCCAGAAAAAAAAAACAATTTTTTTTTCATGGGTTAATCCAAAAAGTCATCATGAAAGCTTAAAAAAGAAGCACATTGCAAAACATAAAAGGAAATAATAATAACAGTATAAAGCTATAACACATGAACAAAAATAGCCCTCATAATCATCACTGTAGTTAATAGGACTCACACATTCACATAAATAAAAAACAACCCAAAAAAGAAAACCACCATGTCCTTGTCATTATCATTTCAAGTTATCATCTTTATATCAGAAACAAAAATGGGTATTGGAAATGCTGCAGTGTACAATACACCCATTTGTTCAACGGTTTTCTTTGTCATCAATCTCTCTCAGAACATAAATGGGTTGAGAATAAACAACAAAAATAGCTATCCTTAACAGATCAACAACACAAAGGTCGAGGCTTTATGTAAGCTAAATCAGGAAAAAACATAACTTGACATATATAAAACCATTCTTTTTGTTTTCTTTTGTGATAAATCACAAAAGGGTTAAAGTTAAACAAGATAAGATAAAGAAACATGATAAATAACATTGAATAAAAGAAGAAGAAAAAACACTTACAGAGAGAATGAGAATGTGCTAGAAAAATAGCAATGTAACCATTAGAGGGTGTGTGAGTTTTTATGTGCAAGAAAGAGTGATAAAAAGTTAAAATTGTTGAAGGGTATTGATAGCAGTAGAATAGTAGTAGTAGTGGGGTAGTGTAGTGTAGACCTTGTGGATTGTACTATAGTAGCAGTTTCTCTCTCACACACACACAATTGTTGTGCGGTGTGAAAAAAACAAACAGCTGTTTATAACTTTATGTTGCAGCAGGGGACAGCTCAACCTCAATACAAAAAATCAAGAGAGGTTTTTTTGATTGACAAGAAACGAGGAAATGTTTTTCAAAAGAAAACAAAATCGAACAACCTGGATGTAACTGTTTCTTTTTCGTTTAATAATGCAAATTGGATTGGATAAGTATTTTGTTTTAATGTTACTTAGTTTGAGACTTTGAGTGTTGTTGGAGAGGATTGTTGGAGGAAATTAGGATTTTATTTAATGGTTAAATAATTTTTTAATTTTATTGTTTCTATAAAAATATTCTCAAAAAACAATTCTACCAAATACTATTTTGTATATGAAAAATAGTATTTATAAGTACAAAGAGTATATGAGTGTCTATAATAGTGTAATTGTAGTATATTTTCATAAGTACAAAGAGTATAAATGTCTATAATAGTGTAGAATTAGTCAGCATTTTGTCTTTTGAAATAGATATTTTATTTAATAGAAGAGTATGAGCATTATATATAAATTATTTTTAATCTTAATTTCAAGTTTGTACTAAGTAAGTGTAATATTATCGTATTTAAAAAGATTGATTGTGTTTAAAGATCGATTCAACAGGTTTTATGATGTTAAGTAATGTTTTTTAAAAGTGTTTGGTTGTGGAAAAGTAAATGACTAAAAATAAATATGAGAGAAAATAAATGGAGATTTGTGTGTTAGTGGGAAAAAAATTTGTTACGGATAGATTTCGTCATCATTGTACTCATGCAAAATCATTGGTCATTGTCGCGACGCGAAAAATATCCAAGCGTAAGAAATCTTCGAAATACAACAGAGTGCCACCGAACTTTATTTATTCTAAAGAAAAGGAAAATATCAGTAAAACCCGCAAAAGAAGAGAAAAATGGTCGTCACAACCAGATTGGATTAAGGAGTCGTCTATGCAAGAGAAATGTATTAATACCCCTCACATCGTGGTACTCAAGGGACCCATTTAGTTAGTTTTGTGAATGAGTGTTAGCGTAATGTTAGTTTGTGATCTTCTAATTATTATACGAGAAAAAGAAAAAAAAGAGTTTTTAGGTTTTTTATATTGTGCTCGCAAAGATTTCAAAATCACGTGCCTACGTATTCTCAGGTGCAATGAGAAAACCAGAGCTTTGTAATTCGTGGTAGAAAACCACATATTTGTTGATTGCTTTTAAAGAGTGATGCTTAAATCACATTGAGCGGTTAAACATTGCTTGTTGCTCACTCTTGGAGGCAGAAGTGTTAGTTTATTTCGCGTTAAAATGGATAAAGCATACTCGTTTGAGAAAAGGTTTTCAGAGTTACACTAGGGCGAAAAAGATAGTTTGATGAGTTGAGTTGCTTTTAAGGGACACAAGTGTCAAATGACCAAGCTATATAACTTGTATTCAAACACTTCAGGAAAAGGTAGGACATACATCAAACTCGTTCGCTTATTTGTTTATTGAGAAAATAGTGAGACGAGTTTAATCATAACTCTTTAACAGAAGGTGGGTATCAAATGGCCAAGCTATACAACTTGTATTCGGGTACCCGAGATAAAGGTAGGAAATATATCCAACTCACTCATTTACCATTTATGGAATTGAACTAGACTCGCTTAATTAACGTATTTTAATTGGATCATAAATATTCGAATGACCAAACTATACAACTTGTATCTAAATAATCGAGGAAAAGGTAGGACATACGTCTAACTCGTTCGTTTAATCTACTTGTTAAGAAAAAGATTTAAAGCGTTTGAATTTAAAATCGCATGAAAAATACTTGATATTGACAAAACGTTTGCATCACATTCGATATAATTTATTTTAAAAAGTCAACTTGACATTGGATCAAGAAAACTTAACTATTTTTCTTGAAATTGTTGATTTTAACCTAATTCTTTCATTAATTCTAAAAGATTACTAATATCTAAAAACTAGCATTAATGTCTAATAAAAAAACTAAAATTAATTATAATGACTAAAAATGAGACTAATACTAATCACTAAAATTAAACCATTAATACAATAATAAATACCTCCATTCGTCCCATTTTATAAGCAAATATTACTTTTTAGATTCATTAAATAATTGATGTATCTAGACTTTATATAGACTATATACATTAATTATTTAATGAATCTAAAAAGTGAAATTTTCTTATAATATGAGATGGAGGGAATATAGTTCTAAATTAACACAAAATAAAAGAAAAGAAAGCAACTAAAAAAAATTAAAAGAAAATAGTAAAAAAAGGGCCATGTAAACAAAAGCCCAAAAAGAGAAAGAAAAGTGCAAATAAGGTGCAAAGAGAAGACTCTGGGGTCTCAAAAGCTACTAAGCAAAGGCTCAAAGCTACTAAGCGGAGGTTAAGGAGTCAACTTGGTTGACTCAGGGAGAAGCGCTAGATTTGCTTACTGAGTATGTTAAGGGATGATCTAAGAGTTCTAAGGGAGTGTCCATGGGTTTAGTGTGGGAAGCACATACTGGATCCCCTAGTTAACTTAGTAAACTGCAAATTAGAAGGCTCAGAATGAGCGAAGTGGAAAAGATCAATGGACCAAAGGGACGATACATAAATGATATCTCCTTAGAAAAACTCTTATTCTTCACACTTATTTCTCTCTCTATGTTTTCCATTCTCTAGTCCTCTTTATCTTAAACCAACCGACCACCAAACTAAACCTTCTCAGCCCCTAAATCCACCCTAAATTTCTAGATTTTAACCATGACACTCAAAACCTTTACATTTCCTGAATTGACCCCCCCCCCCCCCCCAATTTATCCCCTAAATCCTAATCTCCCATCAGACCCACCAAAAACCTCAACAAAAATTCGGATAGAAAACTGTAGTGGTAGAAATATTGAGACTAAGCCATTGGATTGACTTAACTCGTACAAATCATAAAAAAATCATCACCGTGTTTTATTGTTTCCAAAGGAAATGGGAAAAGAGCAAATAAACCTAAAAAAAGAGGGGGAGAGAATCTAGGTATGGGTGTTGGTTATGCAAAGGGAATGTATTAGCACCCTAAACATCTATGGTACTCCGTAGGAACCTCTTTGATAATCTGTGTATTTGGGCTATAAAAAATGTATACAAAAATAGATGGTGAAGATGAGAAAAGAAGTGCTTTTTTACAATTTTGCACCTGTCGTGGTTGTGAACCTCTAGTGCCTACGTACCGCCTTCCGTGCAATAGGGGATTAGGGTACTCATAGTCCACCTTAAAAACTTTAAAACACAAATGTGTGTTGGTTAATTTTAAGAGAAGAGACATCATCGTCATATCCGAGTGGAAGACATACTTACTACCCACAATTATGAGAAAAGAGAATTTGCATCATCTCAAAATGGAGGGTATAGCTTGGATTTTAAAATCAACAAAGCCTCACTCAACACCCAAGTAGAAAATATCTCACTTTACTATATATCATAGAAGTATAGTAGCTCACATCACTACAAGAATCGACAAGAGTCTAATCTTTTGAGAAAAGGTTTTAAAGTAAAAAGTCAAAGTAGAAAAATGGTTTGAATGAGGTTAATTAACTTTTAGTCTTGAGAAAGATGCTAAAGTATGGTTAAATTGATTAATTTTTTATTTAAGAAAAGATTTTTGAAAATGCATGGACCTAAGTCCAGGGTTATTATGAAAGCGGTTCAAGTTTAGAAAACAAGAAGAGTTTTGAAAAGGAGGGAGAAGAGTTTTGAAAAGGAGGGAGAAGATTTTTGAAATTAAAGAAGATGAGAGGAGATGGAGGGACTATCCTAAAGCATAAAGTAAAATCCAAGGAAAAGAACGATCTAACCAACAAGAAACCAACACTTGACATATGAAGTCAATGTAGAATTCTCATCCTTTGGATTGAAACCGAGCAAGCAAAAATACTAAACCTCTGAGAAATACCAAGCTTCACATGAATTAAGTCTTTGCAAAA